CTCTCTCTCTCTCTCACTCTCTCTCTGTCTCTTTGTCTCTCTCTCTCTCTCTCTCTCTCTCTCTCTCTCTCTCTCTCTCTCTTCTCTCGAATTCCACCTGTTTATGTTCCAAAGTGTACCTACAAGTTCATAGCTATTCCTCTTAGCGTTGCTCCGTGTGAGCCTGAAGACTCCTTGAGATCCCCGTGCTGTGTACACTCTGGACTCCTGAAATGAAAAGAAATACGGTAGATTGCTTATTAATAAATGAAATTCATTTATGACAAATGATGACGCCGGAAAGAGCTGGGATTGAACACACGTATATCCACACAGTCATAAAAAGGAGAAGTCTGAGATATTTGGGATATGTTTTAATGGTTGAGATTGAATATATCCACAGCCTGGAGTCAACAGAGTGCTAAATTTAAAGAGCTAATGGGCATGTCACTGGTCACTCCCCCACCCCACCCCCAGTGAAGGTCCATAGGCAGAGCCCCCCTTTACACATGCATTTTCGAGCCACCTGAATATGAAAGTAGTATTATTGGAAGTATAATGCGTCTTTAAATGTCATTTGTTTTTGTTTTTTTCTGGATTTTCATCTTTGGGTAGTCCTAAACATGTCTTGTACCTTTTTCGGGAGTTTTACAAATAGAATGAGAGAGAAGGCCTCGATCAGCTTCTTTGGAGAAATAGTTCAGTAGTTTTAAGGCAACGTTTTGGGGGGGCTTTTTTTTGGGGGGGGGGAGGGTTGTAAATGAATGAATCTAATCGTTGGGATCAATGACACATCAATGCTACACCTTACCGTGTTATTTTGAAGTTTGACTTTCTCCAGTCCATTTCTGGACAGCCGAAACACTGGTAAGTCATCGGATGTGGTCTCTGTGCTACAGGACAAAAAGGAATAAATTACGCAACAAGGTTTATGTGGTTTCTCAGAAGACTGTAGATAATTTCTTGGACGAAAAAGGAATTAAAGAGGGTAATACTTGCAGAAGCTCATTGAGACAAATTCAGTTTCTGGGTCACTTGAACATCTAGCTCTCCCAGGTAAATTTGAAGGTAAACAAAGCAGGACTAGACCCAGACAAACTTTCTTGGAAATACCTGAACAGTTTGTGGCTGGTGAGGAAAGATAAGAATAAGAGGACATCTCTCTGCGAGTGGCCGATCAAAGGACTGAATAATGAGCAAAGAACGCCGATGCCTGTTTAAGATACGACACTTAAAAAAAATAAAGGGAGTTTATGTTTTACACACACACACACTC